TCGAGTTAAAATCAGATTATAATATTGCTATTATAATTGATTTTAATACGACTGTCGTAATCTTCTTTTTGCATGGGTATGTTCATGTTACTTATATCAATGTTTATTGTTTATGAACTTATAATTGTTATTGACGTTACCATATAGAAGAAAAAGATACCCAATGTTTTTTTTCTTCTGGTTTTGCCATATATTCTTGAAGTTTTTAACCTTTTTTTGTATTTTTTTCGTTCAGCTTTTGGTTTTTGTTCACGTACGAAAAAAAATAAATATGCTGCTACATTAGATATGAAACTTACTTGTTTATATATGGGCACAATAGTTTACTCTCACAGTATGAATATCTTTCCAAGTGAAAGATGCTATGCTTTATTTATTTTGAGCATACTTACGATAAGTTAACAAATAAGAGCTCTGTCTTCCTGCGTTTAAAAGTAAAAAAATCTACCTATTTGATGTACCAGAGTTGTATAATAATAAAAAAGAAACAAGATAAAAAATGAAGACAGTAAATAAAATGAATATTTGTAAAAATCAGAGGTTATTTGTACATCTGACCGTTACTTTGAGCAAAATAAAAAAATCTTCTTATAAGATGTCTTCAGGACTTTCAAGAATATATATATCCTGCTCAATGTCATTAAAGCAAAAAGAAATAAAATTGTTAAAGAGCTTGTAGTGTTGGTTCTGTAGCTGTTGATTGTCGAAGTAAAGCTTTAGCTTGTCTTTTCCTCTCGTCAATGAGAAAATCTGACATCCTTGGTTTAATAAGTTTGGAAAAGCAGGAATCATAATGTAATGCTGATAAACGATATTTAATACGAACAGCTTCTAAATAAAAGCAACTAAAAATGAATCTTTTTGAATATTTTTAGTTTCAACTCTGAAACTGGAAGCAATAAAAAGAAAGATAGGTACAAGCAGCTTAATTTATACGTTGTCAACGATTCTAATAGATAATAATCGAAATTTATATATTTAAAAAGAAAGCTCTTTAACCTTGTATCCGATGATAGAGAGTATGATTTAGGACATACAAACAAAAAATTCTTAATCGTTTTATCTTCTAAATCGGTGTTTAATTGAAATTGAGAAAAAAAATATCTTAAGTAGAATTAGAAAAACCTACCATGAAAAATGTTAAAGCGATCAACATCTAATGGAGGCCGACTTAAATGTTTTCTACCAGGTGGTAAAATACATTCGTTTAACTCTTGTGGTGTAAACAATTCTCTTAGAATTTGTCGACCGAAGTCGAATATGTCACGTCCTCGAATCGTTAACAAGTCTTTACCATTAAAAATCTGCAAAAAAAATCAGAATAGTAGAAAAAATGAATAGTGAGTAATATTCACAATGGTTTGAGGGAAAACCTCATCCTTTTCTCTGTATGAATCCAAACTATAATCACCCTAAAGTATAAAAAAGAAAACAATATATTACATATGACAAATAATTCTATGTTTATGGAAGACGTACTAAAGCTGGAACCAATCGATCAACCTTTTTACTAAAAGCTTTTAGTTTTTTTTCTAGGCCATGTAAAATTGTATGCTGCATTTGATCGATTGTTTGGTACAAAACATGAGCTAAAAACATATAACGACCTTATTAAACTAATATTTAGAAAGTAGAATCAATTTTTCAATATAGAAAATTCTGGAAAAATATAGTATATTGAGCAACATCAGATGAGTTTAACTTTTCGAAGAAGAATTGTTAGATGATTGTAAAATCAAAAAAATTTGGATAGTAAACTTTCCTTCTATCACGTTATATGTATATATTTTGAATTTTGATTTTAAAAACTCATTTTTATGCTAAGAAGTGCTATAAAAATAGTTTCTATTAGAATTAAACAATATAATAATGAACTGTATAATATTTTAAGAATTAAATAATCAATCAAATCATTGATTTACTTTTTTTCTGGAAATTATCTAAAATTTTATCCATTTTCCGAAAAAACTAAAAGAATGTTTTCAAATAAAAACACCAGATTCAATTTTCTAGGAATTCTGGATTGAAATTAGAGTTAGTTCTTATATCGCAGATAGGCATCTTGTTTTAAGAACTCAAAAAAAGTTTACAATATAATAAAATTATTTTTGTTTCTTTTTTAGTTTAGATAACACTTTACGTTCTGAAGACAGGATTGTTTTAGCACATGTACCAGTGGTTATATCATCTAGAAATTAAAATAATCGTCACAGAATAGGTAAATATTAGCAAATGATAAAAACTACTTTTATCTGACAATAATTGATCTAAAGGCCGCAGACGTTCTGAAGAGAGAGGTTCATTTTAAAAAGTTTTCTTAGCTAAGCTTGTGATAGCAGTACTCACTTTGTTTTGTTGATAAGTTTTGTTGTGGTACAGATAAACCGTTGTCAGATTCTTCTAAAAGATCATCGAAATATTTTTTGTTTTAAAATTTAGCGTTTAATTAACGTGTGCAGGCAACTAGGGGTATTACTTTATCTTTATTTTCTTTTAAATAATCAATAACGATAAAGTAATTAGAATAAACTTAATCTTTTACAAAATAAAGATAACGTAACATCCCTGTAGGCAACTGCTTTATCAACTATGACTTTATCTTGTTGTTAAAAGAACAAGTTCTAATCAATGTAAAAAAAACTTTCATTGTAGATTTTTACCGTCATCATCAGCTATCGTTAATGAAGATCGTTTTCTTTTCTGTGTTAATGGTGAACGTGCTAAAACAAGTTACAAGAATAGTAATCCTTAATCTTTGTTTATGAGCAAAATATGCAGGTACTTTGTGTTTGACTGTAACTGTTATCATCGGTAGATAAAATATCTTCTTCTGATTCATTTATTTGTTCTAGAATATTTAAATTAAAATATTTTATGATCATAAAAAAGAAAACCACAATATCTGCATTTCAGTGAAACAAGACATTTCAAAATATTTTACCCTCTTCATCGTTTTCATCTTCGACATCATCTGATGTCATCTGTTCATAAATTGTATTACATTGGCTGTAACTTCCTATAAAAAGAGTTGAAAATGATTTTTATTTTATTATGAACTTTAAGCTGAGAGGATCAAATGCAGTGGAGTAAATAGGAAAGTTTAACTTTAGAATTAAGCTGATTAAATTTTCTGAATCATCGATTTGATAAATTCGAAGCAGTCTAATTCAATCGAAATATTCTACTATTCGAACCATCTTTACCACATAAATAAATACAATTATGCTAGAGAATATATTTTTTTGCCTATGTTTACGAATAAATATAAATTAGATTTGAAATTATTTGAATTATTGTTACTATATAGATCTTAGCATATTAGACATTATAATATACTGCTAATCTCTCTATGTATAACGATATTGTATTCAGTTTAACTTGAGCAGCTCAATAGCTATATCATGAACGCTGTAATTGTACAGTTGTCAGATAAAATTTGTTATCGGCAGATCTTAAACTTACTTCTTCAATAGTAGTAAACTCATTCATTTATCTTATTCTACTTGACCGCTAGCGAAAAATAATGTATAATGAAATTGGAATCTATTATTAGCTTGTAAATTCATTTTCAATATTATTAATTATATCAAAGCCTTAACCAAAACATACTACAGTATATAATATATCTTCGAAGTAATGAACAGATACCGATTAAACAAAAGATATTGAGTAATGTAGAAATTTGAAGTCCTCTTATTACCTTGTGCTTGTATTATTGCTATACGACTTTTTTTACCAACGCCAACGACCGCTTTGTCATCGATTATTGATCTGAGACTCGATCTTTTTGCTACAATAAGTTCACCATTATCTTCGAATTTTAATAAATAATTTTGAGGAGAAGTTATGGAAGACTGTGTAGGTGTAAATTTTTTTGGTTGCGTTCTTCTTCTGGGAGATCGATTCATTTTCAATGATATAGGAAAGAAATCTGAAACAAAACCACTGAATTACAAAATAAGGTAGAATGTTTATTTAATTCGAATCATATAATATGACATTCATAATAACTCAGCATATCAAACAGAACTATAATGCCTAATCACATGTATTAAATTATTCAAATCAGAAAAGCGAATTTGTTTTTTTTGAAATAGAAACGAACCCGAAATTTTTAATAAGATATAGTTTAATAAAATATTTTAAATCTCAAAATTTTCAAGTTAACTATCTTGACGACTAGTTTAAATGTTATACTTTCAAAAAAAAATACTAAATTCATGGTTTAATATCCTTGTGATTAAAAATAAATATAGGTTTAATAAAGTTTTACTATTCTAGATGTTTTATGATCAATAAAATAAAATGTAACAATAGAAATATTTTTAATCATGCTCGTTATAAGCAGATATTTCAGTTACAACTAGTTCTTGTTCAAAATCAAATACGATACAATGCTTAATAATATAATTAATTTCAACAATATCAAATATATCACATGGATTTTTGAAAAGAATATTATAACAACTATCCAGTGGCTTTTCTAATAAGTCAAAGTAAGACGATGATTTAAACAAAGAACTAAATGGTTGCTTATTTTTAAATCGTTGAATGACTGCATAAGTTGTATTCATGCAACAAAAAAATAAATGGATAATTCCAAAATATTTTTCATTGTTACTTGTTGATTCATAATAGCTGACGAAATAACTATTTGATTTTGTTCGTCGTTTATATAACAAAGAATGAAAAGTATTACTTCGTATAATGCATCGACGATAAATGGATATACATTTTGGAATATTCAAACAACTACATATTCGATTATGATGTGCTATGATTATTGTATAATTATCAATGATTAAACCAGGATTTAAATCTATTGGTTTAGAATGTATATCATATTTTGTATGTGGTACTCGATTATGTAATGAAAAATTTATATTATAGTAGTGAACTATTTGATCACCATAATATCTTGTACCGTATGTATTTGAACTAATGTGCCCGATTAAATCCTCTTGAGAAAAACACCCAATATTAGATAAAGATCCGTAGTTAACATACTGATCACCATAATGAGCATGTAAATGTAGAACATAATTTTGTATGAGATGATAAAATTTTCTGTGATCTTTATAATACTGTTTGAATAGTTGATTTGCTATTGTTGCTGTTGTTTGACCGAACATTGGTGGTTGAGAGTGGTAGAGCCTAATAGCACATATAAATAGAGACATATGAGCTAATTGTTCATGATTTATGAATTCATAAGATAATGGTAAAAGACCATATATCAATACATTGCGTAATTCAACAGCTTTCATGAATGATAAGTCCTTACATGTTTTCATACGTCGGTTAAAAAAATGTGGAAAACATTGTTGTTTCAGTTTAATATCAAATAACTGACGTTGAGAAGGACTAAATTGTTTGTAGACTTGATAAAGAAGTGTTTTTGTATGTCGTAACAAACTCACGTGTTGATAATCGATTATAATACCTTGAGGTAGTTTTGTATCAAGTATATCTTTTAAAATTGATGTACCTGTAGCAAAAAAAAAGCATTTACTATATGATATGTTTTTGTATATTCTTGATTTTCATCCGTCTGCAATTAACTACGAAAGGTACATATTTGCTTTTAATATTTTTATGAACTCTATATTTTATTGTTATTTCTTTTACTACGACATTATATTAACCTGAAGCTGCTGATCAAAAACGATTAAGTACAGTACAAATTTTTATAGAGATATTAGAAAAGCAATAACGAAAATTGGTTCCTATCAATTTTTTAATTTATTGAAGTTGGAAATCTTCAAAATACTAATTCACCTTTATGTCCATGAATATTTCCTTTAGTTTTTTCAGCTTCTACTGATTCTTTTTCATATGTTGAGCTATGACGAAGAACAGGTTTTTTTTCATAGAAGTATTGTCTTTTGTTTCCAGTATGTTCACCACGAGTATAACAAAAATTACAACAAAAGTAACCTCCATGTCCAATAAAGTTAAGAATATTTCTTAGAGCTGGACTATCACCGGTAATAGATAAAAATTTAATATCTATACGATGATGATGATTTATTATGATACCTACAATAAATAAACGAGAACATTATTTATTAGTCATGTAAAAACTGTTATTAATTGTGACATAGAACTCACTCATATCTTTCAGAGAACTAATTACTAAATCAGATATATGAGACAACACTAAGTGAATAATAGAAAGAAACTATAAAAACATATAGCATTAGTTTATTTATTAAATCTTAGCAAATTGTTTTTAGTTTACTTAAATTTATTATCTTCCGTTTTAGATATAAAACCGATAGTGAATGAAAAGTGAATTTTCTAATATATATGAGAATGAGGTACTTATAAAAGAATTTTTTTTTCGTTCATATTATATGAATGTCAATAGATGAATAAAAGACAAGTAACAAGAAAATAAACTAATACTTGACTATTATCATCTATTTTTAGTTGTGATAGAAAAAACTAAATAAGTAAATACTTATTTTATATAAAAAATAAAATATTATCTTCTTTTTTAAATAAAGTCGTATATGAAGTTGTTATTTAGGTATTGATTATAATTCAAAGACTATATATTTTCCCTAGTGTTCAGAGTATCTACAGCAGTTAGACCAGTTATTATCACCTTCATTCAAATAATTAATCGCTTTCTTATACAGTTATTATATATACATATACAGAGTTGTAAAAAATGAACTTGTTTTATTTATACAAGTACCTTTTATTTTGATAAATTTCATTAAATTCATACAATTTATTAACCAAATTTGTGCATCTGGTTCAGTATAACTAAACCATAAAGAAAATAGTACCATATTGTACCGGCGATTTCTCAGTTGTGGCCGTAGTTCTATTATAGATCCACTCAGAAGCCACATTTTCAGTTTAGAAGATTTCGAAAGACTTATTCCATCTAGATAAAGTAAAAATGTTATAAAATTGTTGTTCATATTATTTTTCAATAGCTGTTGATAAATTTTATTAAAACCAATATCATTTGTTCCATCTCTATCGTTCATTCGCCGAAAATGTTCACGATATTCATCAATGTCCGTTTTTAAACGAATATAAATATTTTTAATCAATTGTTCCACATTCATATCATAAATTGCAGCGAAACATTTATGATCAGAACATAAACATTTTGAACAAGAAATATCCGAAAAAGATAAAACATTGTTACAAATTGTACATAAGATATATTTTTTCAGAAGATAATTTTCGATTTGTAAGATTTCTAAAATTTCTTCTATTCGTTTTGGCACAGCATTCGGTATCGGAAGTGTAGAATGAATGAAAGATAACAAACGATTAGCATGTGATTTAGAGATACGAGCATCTCTAATTATACTTAATAACGTCGAACAAAAATCTTCTCTTGACATATTAGTATAGCAATGTAATATAACATTATCGATCGGTGTATTATTACATGATTCTAAATCATTAAATGAATTTTCAACGATTTCATCAGAATTCATAATGTGCTTCTGAATTTCTTCAGGATTGATTATATTATCTTGATCACGAGCATCATTTTCAGATAAAATATTTAATGCATAATTATTTGCGGTTTCATACTTTAGTTTTGAGTTTGTATTCATATCAATTGTAAGCGATTCAACAACATTTAATAATTCATCAGTTACATTAGATGATAAGCTATCAACTGATGATGGTTCATAATACGCTCGACGTTTTTTTTTGTTATTTTCATTACGCTGTTGTACTCTTCTTGAACGTTTATTTTCAGCGAAATTAAGCGCTTGTTCAAAATCAAAGTCCATATATAAATCAGTAGTCAAATCTTTCAAAACAAAATATTATAAAACAAAACAAAACGAATGTATAGCTACCTACACTTTGATATGTATCCTAAAAATATTTATTTTAAACTACCAAATATATATTATAGTTTGGTAGAGCAAAATACCAAAGAACTCTGCATAACATGGACACCAACAAAAGACAACCAATATTTAACAAACAGATGTCCCTAGCGGAAAGCAAAATAAGTTCACTTATTAGTTTACAAATCACCACTTATTTTCCTATTTACAGCTAATCTCTCGCTTCGTCCATGGCAACCACAATACTCATAATTAACTTTAACATATCACATCTCCATCGAAACATCATAAATAACATCTGCAACAACAGATACACCTTTAAATAAATAAAACATTTTATTACGAATCACTTTTACTATCAATACATACAAAAAGATAGTTATCCCAAAAACATTAAACCACACAATATATTAATAACAAGTCCATTCAAAAAACACCGATAAAACCACAAAACCGCATCGCAGCACCCGCTTCTGCGAGATAACCACCGCTGCTCACACTGCTTTTCGAACTTCGAAAAATTAAAACTAAAAAACAAAAAGCATAAAAATCGTATCGATATTTTGCTTTCATGATTTTCAAG